GCAAATAATCACATAACTAAAGCTAGCTTGAAAATACCGAACCCATGCGAACTCGAAAACAGTATATGAAACAAAGCTGCAAATATCGGACACGTTAGTATCGGGAACTTTCAAAAGAGGGTCACGCGAATGATCAAGGTCGACGGTCATATCTCGCACCACTGATTGACTTGGGCGAATGCCTCTACATATGCATCGCTTCTAAGGATGACAAATTGCGTTCGGCATCAGCTTGGTCAAGTGAAGTGTTCTGCAACCAGCTTATGAACCCAAAGGACCAAGCAACTAGAATGATCAACAACTTCAGTCAAGTAGGCTTTTCGGGGGAAGCCAGCACATTCATTCAAAATTGATCAATCAGTTTACTATTGGCAGAACTATTCTCAAGACAACCTTATTCGTCAGCCTGAATGTAGCTACTAATCACCAGACGAACAACATAGGGGGCGAGCCAATCAGCTCTTCACATTTTGATTAATAATGATGTCCCTCAGTGGGACCAGGTGTGATCAGTTATTAAGCGCAGACTGCTTAGAACATCCTGTAATAAACGACGTTTTCTTCAACCAGAAAATACACAATTGCCGAAATGTCGCACTGCTTTGTAGTATACAAGTCTGTGAGCTGGTCGTGGCGAAATTCTCAAGCAAGGTATGCCACCGGAATTTTCGAAAATACTTCATGTGAAGTCTGGACAAGATAGGTTCAATGCGCAAATATTTGAACAAAAATCAGGTTCCCCATAAATTTGTACCCGCTCAATCCAAAGGACGTTGCGTATACAAATTGTTGCTACTCCTCGCAACTTTCATCAAGAAGTAAGAATGAAAAAGCGGGCACCATAGTAACGAAACCAAATATGAATGGCCCGCATAGTATTGTCCAAATTGCTGGTTACAATAACAAAGTTTCCGAACACACCGACGTAGCATTTGATATGAAACGGTGTTGAATCCAAGCCACATCACTGTTTGATGTTTGAGCCATATAAATTAGCCAGTAATAATGACAATACCATATTTTCGCATCACTTAAAACAACTGTAAAGAGTTTCTGGCTAAAGGTATTGCTGGGTTTGACTGCTAATAGGCTCGATTGTCAGGCATGACCTTTAGCACCGACAAACTCCTAACTAGAAAGCGAATGAAACGGCTCCGTTTGAGGCACACGCCAAAACCCCATCGAAAAAACTGTTGAACCGTGCTTCAGCAATCGTTCCTTTCGTTCCCAATATGCTAAGACGAGTTGATCGTGGGTTAATCTGTAGTGATTGCACGTAGCAAACTCAAGTCCATTATCGTGCAACCAAATTCACCAGAATCAATTTTCAAATTTCCTATCCTAGAACGTACCTGTTATCGAGCCACCCTAAATGAGCTTTATCCTGTTGAACTTCTCTGTATTGCAACGCGGGAACGCAAATAAAGTTTAGGGATGCCACTTTGTTAACGGTGTGTGAACCGACCAAGTTATCTTCAACTAGTCAACCTACCAAACAAGGTCTCGCTTAACTTTTCATTCAGTGAGAAAATCAGCACTCCCCAGTGGATGTTCCCATGACGTTGGGTGCAAATTTCCGTAGATGAATGCAGACCACTTCTAGTTTCACCAGGTTTCGATCCTCATGGACTTCATGTGTTCAGGTGCTCCAAGTTAGGCCTTAAATTGCCTGTAACATTCCTGCAATCACCTCCTTACAACGATATCAAAAATGAGTATCCGAATCCACGAGAAATATAAGAACCTGTGTTTTCAATTGGATTCCGTAGACTTGGCCACCAGCTGACTCATCACATAGTCTACGATTGGATAATCACATGTCACTAGCCGGTCAAGCTCTTTCTAGTGCTTCTGTCCTGATTTCATCCGGTTTCATTACCATAATAAGTTTCCTTAACCCTGAGGGATACAAAATTCCAGTGAATGCCCTGTCATTGAGAACAGGGACTCGCAAGCAGATTTATTACGGAAGACAAGCCAGTACATAGCTAAATTTACGTACACTAACCACCAAAATAACTCACTTATGTGTAGGCGTACAATTTGCAGTGTTATTATGGATCATCCGCATCCAGTCGTTTCAATTGTGTAAAGTTGCAGCTACTCGCAATTGAGGGCGTGCATGCGGACTGCGGTTTTCTTCTTTTCAACCGTAGTGGGTTCCTGAGAACAGTACGTGTGCAGCATGAGCATTGCGGCAACCAAAACTACCGTTGCTGTCAGGAAACATAACCGTGGAGACCCTATGAGGGCCAGGCTGATAGTTGTTTTCAGGGTAGTTTTGGGCGCACGATGTCCTTACGTCAACATAGTGACAGGCTTACGACCATGCCGCTAGGTCTATTGAATTGACGAATGCTTAAGCCGACCGATCCTTAGTCGTCTAGGCAGAGCGAAGGCAGCAGTCCTCAAGCTAAAGTTTCTAGTTGCTTCTTCAATCTGAACCACGGAATTATGTGTGGACTGGACAACTGGTCCACTTACTGTGCAAAATTGGCTCTGTCAAAGGACCCTCATTAGACCTGAACTTTCTCCCAAATAGCCACATTGCATACAGGTAACCATAGCTGAAAAATGCATGCGCCATGACTTAGCGTAGTGTGTGCGTCGTCAGCTTCCGATGGTAAGTACATGGTGCCGGTTCTGCTAAGCCTCGGTTCCCGTTTGTTAATTTAAGACACCCATGGTGGCGTGTCCCAAATTTCCAGAGGCATGCCTATCCGGCTAGAGCAAGAGACATTTTGTTGTGTGCCCGCGAGACCTGGACGCGCATTAGATGACTTCAGCTTCTCAAACACTGTGGCCCCAAAAACGTGGATTGTGAGGGTGTACGTCAGCGAATCCGCAACGAGACAATTGAAAATGATGGTGTTGCCAGCAAATGAACTTGTGTTGATCAGGGTACCCAGCCTGCATGCGACCGGGCGTTTCTTATCGGTTAGTGGTGGCATGTTGCAGTGGTTGATTTGAATTCCGCGTTCAATTTACCGATCGTGCTTGTGGATTTAGTCCACTCGGCATATTGATTGAAGACATGTTACTTTATCCTAGACTCCACAATATCCGCCAACAATCTTCAGGTTACTTAGATTTCCATTAAGGTTCGTCATCATGCATGAGTATTTAGATTGCCTTAGATGACTGCAACTCCCCGTGAAATTTATCAGAATAATGAAGGTAGCAAATATAGCTTGTATATTTCCGTGCTTAATTTTTCCGGCATTCCCCGCTGAATATCTGGACACATGCTAGTAATTTTTTCAAACGAAACGCGATTCATGCTCATGATTACAATGCCTGGCTCCGTTGAACGGTGGTATCTCCACAGTGGAATTGGCGGGTGGGTAATTCACCAAGGATGATGAGCAGCAAACAGCCTGAGATAGTAACTTTCTGACATATTTGTCGCAAGGCTTTTGGGTTTCCATAAAAAGGGGTCTTTATTTTTTCGGGAAGTAAGGAAATCCACACTTGACGTATACAGAAGACACATTCTCAGTTCCACAATAATTGTAAAAGACGCACAAAATTTTCAAATATCGAGATGGCCGCAGCGAATCAACGTGTGACATTCTAACAAATTCCTACAGCTTTGACTTAGGTCAAGGTGCTGTGTGAAATGACGAGCGTCGTCGTCCGAGCGGAGGCCTAGCGTCAGCCGTTGAATTGGTTGTGTCAACTGTATGTATTATGCCGACTTTGTCGGTTGGCCATGTTCTCTTCGAATATATGTGGAGTAGACCGTGAAAAAACAACAATGTAACAATATTTTGTGCCCTTAACGAGTTCACAGAGCTCATTGTTCACCAAAGTTCAGATTCGCGTCATGACTTGTATATGTATATACATATACATATATATTATATATAAATAATTGTCAGCTGTAAAAACAGTTCACTTGCCGTACAGTGTTTGCAGCTGCCACAGTTTCGTCCATCGATGAGTTAGGGAGGTTGGGTAGGTTGCCGGGCATTGGATGCGGGAGCTGATAAATTTGGGCATGCATGCACGAGTGCTCTTGAGGGCGCGACTGTGCCATGCCTGACAGTATATCTAACCATTCGTGTGGCTCGTCTATGGGTCACCATCCAGGAGGTCGGCAATGACCAGCACACTTGAGTTTGCTGGTAGTGGCTTTTATACTTCACTGCCAAATCATGGTTTGACCGCCTCCACCATTCACGTGGTTGTGCGAAAGGAACCCTCGGAGGAAGTCGGCCGATTGAAACGCATCACGTGGCCAAGCCACCGTTACCGATGCAGTGTGATCAGTTCATCTATCGATGGTGAGTTATTTCTTCAGAATACCAGATTGAAGCTCTCTCCAAACCAGCTTGCAGCATAACGCAGTAGCTCGTGAAACCTAACACACATTCGTTCGTTATTTGCTACCCGTCGTCCACTATTGATCACACGTGTTCCCATGTTCGCACAGGTATACGGTGTTCACACCTGTTGATAAGACGGCGTCCACACCTAAACGAAACATGATGGGCAGTTGGCAGACAAATAATCCAGTCTTTTGTAAAATCTAACAAGCATGGTGCAGAATGATAAATAAACCACCAGTGGCGGTCGTAAACAGAGCAGATTCCCTCAGATTTCAGCTAGCACAGTGGATCTACGGATCCTTTCGAGACAGAGGATAGAAACACAGGTCAGTAGTGGTAAGGAAGAAGTTATCAATCAAACCTTACCCGGTTAATGGAGTCTTGAGAAACGAAACCCCAATTGTGTGAAAAACAGCAACGTTGACCACACTGATCACCAGCAACTGGGGGTGTGGCTGGGAGAAATCGAGACTTTCTTTGGGAAACTATTCTCGGGGGATCTATTGACGTGCAAAGATGACCCACATGAACTGGATTACATTCCTTCTGTGCATACAAACAGATGAATTCCAACAGATTTGATGAGCTTGGAAGAACACATTGAATTTCGGCCGAATGAATGCAAATGAATCCAGTGATCGTATGGATTCGTTTTTCTGCACTTTCCAGATCAACATGAATTTGTGTACTACTCGGAAGCCTGCGTCATACAGATGACCAATACGGAAAACTGCTTGCTTGCCCTTAACGAGTTCACAGAGCCCATTTGTAGGTAGGTAGAGGCGCATCGGATGCGGGAGCTGATAAATCTGGAAAACCGGCTTGCTTCACCTAGTGACACTTGCACAAGAAACACGCCAGATTATCTATGAGAAATTTTGGTTTGTGATGACTGTTGGGATTTCGAAAAATCCGGACATATTGTGCCTCGTATCATCATCAATCAGTATTACCAAGGGATGGTGGCGTTCGCGTGCTCAAGAGCTTAGTCATCTCAGTCACCATCAAGAAGACTTCACTTTGGTTCAGAGGCACTGAGTTCTCGACTGAAGATCAGAATTACTTCTGTGGGTGAAGACTGGGCATTTTGTTCGCTTTCAAACGCAAGCGCTTTCGTTGGAACACACATTGAGTCTTCAAAGCCATATTGCCGAAAAAAATTTTACTGCAGTAGCAGAAACTCACGGAACATTTGCACGAAATGTTGCATGTCACACCGTTTCGTCAAGGTTTTGTATCACAAAATGCACGAGTGCTGAAGAGTTTCTGGAATTAACTTGCAGGTTTTACTTCTTAGTGTATCTACAGTCCGTAATCTACTGACCCGCGCCACAGACCAAATGTTCCATAGCATCCAGCTGGAGTTGCCGCATCAAGAGCATCGTAGCTATCGAATGTGATCAGAAAAGAGAAATGGGGACGGAGAAGACTGACACCGAAAACACAGACACTTTTATTTTTTTTCCAATTTGGAACAACGTTCGTACTGCCGTCCCAACATGAATAACTTGGAAGTTCCTAATTTGGCGCAAGTCTGCACGATCACCGAGCATGTTGGATGAACGAAAATATTGAAACGTAATGAAAACCCTGAATGCAGAACACACATGAAGATAAACACTGGGATTCGCGTTTACCGCTGAAACGAATACCGAACACATAAACGACAGCGAAATATATACGACGATACGTTTATCGTTGCATTTCACAACCAACGTATTGCGTAGATAAGCAGACATTCATTGCATACATACTTCAGAAAGCAGCTTCATAGTCCACGGCACGAAGTAAAACTAACATTAATTCGGACATCGAATCCAATCTGATGAGCAACTCAACTAGGCTCGAAAACACCCTAGATCGCAAACACCTCACCCATGCAATTTATCGCACCACCGGTGACCTAATTGGACACCCGAGAACTGCTCTCAACTGAAACCACAGCACAGACGAAAGCGGTAGCAGGTTGCCGAAGTGCTCTCATAAACCTGATAAATATCACATTATATAAAAACTTGGCCGACAAGCGTTCATTGATTTTCTCAGCGACTACTTTTCACTGTCACACAACCAATGCACACCATACTGCACAGAAGGCCTGAGGAACTCCAGCAAATCCATGTACATACGTCTAACTGTGACGGAAACTGTAAAAATGATCACAGGTGATAAAATTAGGAACGAGGTCACTGTGATTTGTAGACTGAGATTTCACACATCGTTCAAGTCGAAAAATCACAGGGTTTGGGTTGGGAGAGAGAATTTCTCCCGATCTAGTCCTCTAATCGACCTGGTGATCTGGAAATTGGCTTCAAATTCATTATGACAAGCAACAGTGTCAACACTAAACGGTTCGCAATGGAGTCAGCACGTGAACTAACGAGGCTGACTAATGGACCGACGCTACAACTGCGTATGCTTACTGCATTTAAAAGATTTCACATACTTTGTGATGCCGGGACACTCCTGAGAAGTGCATTATCAGGTTTATTGTAAAAATTTGGCTGAATTTCAGGACAACGAATGTTCCAGAAAAGAGTTGGACCACCCGGAGTTCGGGGCAATTTTCCACAGGCCAGGTGCCAAACAGCCAGATGGAGGATGGAACTTTACATAGTTATTGAGGGTGGCGAGACTTTCATTTATCTGTTTACATCCACCAATCCTACGTGAGATGAGTGGCGCACATGTGAAATTTGTTTATGGATTGGTTGTCGTATGGATTACCACAGAGAATAAGTAAAGTTTTGAAGCCATATGCTTGCTGGATATATATACATATATATATATATATATATATATCGGCTGCGAAATCGCGACCTAATACGGCGATACCTTTGAAACTTAGTAGAATTTCAATGGTCATTTTTCGTAACACATTTGATTCAGTGGTAAGGGACGCCGTTTTACGAGTGTATAAGGTTACAAAAATCGATTGACTCAATCTTTGATTGAAGTTGTTGGCTTAGAATATAGCACGTATCTGTTGATCAGATCGATTGATTGGGAAATGAGTGCTTTCCTTATCCATTCGCCAACCTGGTCCGAACTGAAGAGACGAAGGATGGGACGATCGATGACATGCGGGAGGAACAAGTAGAATTAGGTTGCTAAATAAGCGCAGATACTAAATAAGCTCAGAGTCGTGGTAACTCCAAAGTGGGACTAGTTCCGGACACTGATTGACAGTATTAAAGTCGCTGGTGTGGGCAAACCCAATTTTGAGTCGATT